ATCAGCTGGGCAATAATCCTGTTAATGCAAAATCCATTTATTTCATTGCCTGACCTCACACTTTGACATGGAGCTTAACCAAATCAGTTTTTTAAATTGAATTAACCTTTTCCAGAAAAGAATTGAATTGTATTAGGAAGAAAACCTGCTAAAACTTTTGTCTCTCCAGTTGGCATTTACTTAAGTCCCCTGTGCAAAACCCTGCCTCATTTGTATCTTAGAGAAAACCTAAAATTCCAGCAGCGATCTAAAATTATATGCACACAAAATCTTAAAGCTGCCTTACCCGTGTGGCTCAGTAGTTGAGCATGGATGGATCCATGAGCCAGGAGCTCACGATTCAATTCCTGGTGGGGACAAATGCAGGGCTTGGAGCTTGATCCCCAGTAGGGGGCGTGCAGAAGGCCCCTGATGTTTCTATCCCTGCCTTTCCCTTCCTCTCTGAAATCAATAAAAACATTAAATTATAAAATAAAATAATCCTAAAGCTGTAGAGGACAGATTTCTAGACTTGAATGTTAATACACCATAAAAAAATTAAAACTCAACGGTCAGCAGCCTCTGACAGAGTATGTGGCCTCCATCTTCGGCACTGAGAAAGACAAAGTCAACTATTCATTTTATTTCAAAATTGGAGCATGTCATCATGGACACAGATGCTCTTGGTAGCACAATAAACCGACCTTTAGCCAGACCATTGCCCTCTTGAACATTTACCGTAACCCTCAAAACTCTTACCAGTCTGCTGATGGTTTGCACTGTGCTATGGTGATGAGTTTTTTGAGGAGGTTTTCACATAAATGGAGAATTACGGAGAGGTGGAGATGAATATCTGTGATAATCTTGGAGATCACCTCTTGGAAAGGTGTTTTGCCATGAAGAAGATGCAGAGAAAGCTGTGATTGACTTGAATAGCTGCTGCTTAGATGGGGCAGCCGAGCTTTCCCCCGTGACCGACTTTTGGGAAGCCTGTTGCCACCAGTATGAAATGGGAGAGGCAGCTTCTGCATCTTCATGCAACCGAAGCACATTTCCAGAGAGCTGCAGTGGGAGCTATATGGGCACCGGCGCAAGAAGCATCTCAAGGTCCCAGGAGCGTCGCTCTCGGTCTAGAGACCATGGTTGCGGCAAAGGTGGTGGGGGATGGGAGCGTTACAGGAGGTGGTTAAGGGATAGTGAGAGATATGGGTGATTCTGAGCCAAGCCATTTTTACCGTATGTCTGCTAGAAAGTGTTGTAATTGATTGACCAAACCAATTCATAATGGGAATTTTAAAAAAAATTTGAGAAAACAAAGATGAATTTCTGAATAAAATTTGTAGTGATACAGTAAAAAAAAATAAAATAAAAACTCTAACTTACAAAATAAATGACCAAAACTCTAAAATTCATTACAGAATTTTAAACAAAATGATATGTAACTAAAATGGCCTTTTCAATGTCTAATTCAAATTTCATATTTTAAGGTAGGATATTGACTTTATTATATAAGTTAATAAGCACCACAGAGAACAATTCCTAATCCTAAATATTAATATCTTTCATTTTTAATTACAATAAGTGTCCTCTGGTTTGTCAGGAACATTTGGCAAGAGCCTTTGTTATGTTGGAAAGTTATTTAACTAGTGTTTCAATACTTGTCAGCAAAAATCAAACCACCCAAGATTCCTTAGCTTTACCTCCTTCTGAGTCATTTTCTCTCCCAAACCTCTCCATTAAAATAGAATTGCTTTCATCTGTTTAATTAGTTTAATCTGTATATTGAGTGCTTCCACTGAGATTTTAAAAAATGTATTTTGTCTTTTTCCCATTTTGTCATTTTTATGAAAATTGCTTTATCCAATTTTGTAATGTTTCTATTAACTTTGATGACTGATTAGTGATTTTTTTGCAGTCTAGTTCGTGATTTCTGTGTGTGTGTGTGTGTGTGTGTGACCAAAAATAGGAGGGAACATACTTTGTGTTGGGAATAGAAACTTTATGCGGATTGCCAGATTATTTTAAGTGAATTTTCAAAGCAATATTAGGAAATTTATCTGTGTACCATTGGATAAAATTGAGGTGTCGAACCTGAAAATACAAAACAACTATGGCAATTTTTCACTAGGTAAATTCTACCTTGGCTTGAAATGAAAAATTAAATTTGTCCAAATTTGTTTGTTTCCTCTTATTTGACCACTAGAGATGTATAAATTGCCCTGATTTCCTTTTTTGCTTTGCCCATGGGCAATTACAGCAGGGAAGTATGTGGCAATTCCAGTTTATAGATTGGGGTGCCTCGTATATCGGCAACGTAAATTTTGTATATAGGTACTACTATTGTATAAGTGCAAGTAGGTAATAATGTAATTAAAAATTTGTCAGTATGAAATCTGTGGACAAAAGGGGCCACATGCTAATTTGACAAGTTCAGGGAAGGCCTGCATGGCAGTCTTGCAAACTCAAAGACCTAAAGTAAACCACAAAGGATGGTCTGAAATTAAACTTTGATTAAAGGCAGTTATGGTAGGTAGTCACCTCCTAGGCCAGTATCTTCCCTGACAAGGTCAATCTTTGACTGAGCTTATGGTCTTTTTGCATCTACAATAACATTGAAATGTCAGAGTAGCTTGTAACTTCCCTTTTTTCTGGACCCATCTGGACACAACCAAATGCCCTGGGTGCCGGGACAGATACCACAAATTCCTTCATTGTTATCATGTTAATTGTTGACTGTTAACTATCCTGTACCCACCTAAGTAAAAGAAGTATGTGTCTATCATTTTACTCTTTATCCAATCCCAGACTTCCCCCCTCCTTTGCTTTCTCTCGCCTCTCTAATCTATCACCAATGGTTTCATGTAAACCACCTACCTCTCCTCCTTTGATTGCAATGTATAAAATAGATGAAAAACTGCCATTCTTCTTGAAATATTAATGTTTATTGCATGTAACATTATTATATTTAAAATTGTTTTTCTTGAAAATAAATTTTAAAAAGACATTATCCAGAGCATTATCCCAGGTCATTGAGATTCTGCTTACTGGCAGTTGTCAATTGTCGACAATTTGGCTCAAGTAAACTCACAAAAATTCTTTACAGGTTTGAATATTTTTACATTAATAAACTGACAACCAATAGGTCCAGGCTGCCTGTCACTACTTGAGGCAATTAAGCAGAGACAGGGTTGAATCATATATGAGCATTTATTCCAATAATGCTGGCAGTATGGGAGAGCAGCAGGTCATCCACAAAATCTGCTCTGAAACCTCCCATAGCCAGCTGCTTATATTGGGTAGGACAAAGATTACATGGGGAAGTAGGCAAAAGGAGTAAGAATGGGTATGCAAAATGGGTATTACAGGTATGGGGAAGTAGGCATTGTGTGCTGGGAGGGACTCCATTGTTTGGGCAACCTGGTTGTTAATCCTTCCATGATAATAGGCAGTTACTGAATGAGTCTGTTCTGCATTCCAAGGTTGACTCCCAGGTTCCTGGGTGTGCACTGCTCCCAACCAGATTAAAATGTCCTTTCTTTAATCAGAACAAGGCAATCAGAACATGTTTAATATAATAAAAGGGTAATATGCAAATCGACAGAACGGCAGGATGGACGAGTGCTCAGCCAAAGGCCAGGCTGATGGCTGGTGAGTGCTGCAGCAGTGGTGGGAGCGTCTCCTGCCTCGGTGGCAGTTGGACAACTGAGGGCTCCCAGACTGGGAAATGATGCAAGCCAGGCTGAGTGACACCCCCCACCCCAGGTGCATGAATGTCATGCACCAGGCCTCTAGTGTTTAATATTTCTTATAACTACCGCTAGTTCCCAATATTCTATTTTTGCCCCTAACAAGTACATTTAAAAGCAATAATGAATTAGTATCTTTTAGTCATTTTCTGTACTTTAACAGAACAGAGAACCCAGAAATCTGTACTTTAAGGAATGCTAACAAGCCCAGCTGGCATGGCTCACTGGTTGAGCATTGATCTATGAACCAGGAGGTCATGGTTCAATTCCCAGTCAGGGCATATGCCTAGGTTGCGGGCTCAATCCCAGTGTGGGGCATGCAGGAGGCAGCTGATCAATGATTCTCATCGTTGATGTTTCTAAATCTCTCTCCTCCCTCTCTAAAATCAGTAAAAATATGGGGGAAAAATACTAACAAGTAAACTGTTTTTAGTTAAGTTTTTAAATAAATTTTGTAAAATTTCTATTGATTTTTTAAAATTATTTTTATTTGTTTATTTTTAGAGAGAGAGAAACATCAAATGTTATTCCACTTAGTTATCCATTCATTGGTTGGTTGATTTTTTTTTTAATTAAATATATTTTTATTTCAGACAGGCAGGGAGAGAGAGCTAGAAACATCAATGATAAGAGAGAATCACTGATTGGCAGGCTGCCTCCTGCACACCCCTCACTGGGGACCAAGGCGGCAACCCGGCATTGTGCCCTGACCAGGAATTGAACCATGACCTGGTTCATAGGTTGACACTCAACCATTGAGCCACACAGGCTGGCCTATTGGTTGATTCCTATATGTGCCCTGACCAGGAATGGAACTCTCAACCTTGGCATACTGGGACAACGCTCTAACCAACTGAACTACCCAGCCAAGGCCTGGTCTTCATTATTTATTTAAAAGTTTAGTATCCCTTGATAATGGTTCCCTGTACAAATTTTAAGGGCCAGGAGACTTTGGGAAAATTATTGAACATTTCTGAAACTTAGTTTTATCCTATCTAATAATAGACAAACATGGTAATTGACCATACCTTTGCTACGCCTCCCATTGACTAATCATGATATGCAAATCAACCCAACCAAGATGGCGGCCCGCAGCCATGGAACTGGAGTGAGCAGGAGGCTTGCTTGCTCCAGTGATGGAGGAAGCCAAGGTTCCCCACCTGCTGTGGCCGGCTCTGAGCTCCGAAAGCAACAAAGTTTCAATTATAGAAGCTAAACAGATCCCAGATACCTCCTTTCAGCCGGCCGTTGCCATGGAGCTGGAGCGAGCAGGAGCCGGCTCTCAGCTCCAGTGACGGCAACAAAGTTTCAATTATAGAAGGTAAATAAATCCCAGAATAAGAAAAGAAAAAGAAAAAAAGGAGAGGCTGGGAGCTTTAGTTGCCAGCGAGCCTGAAAATGTCCCTCAGCTCCTCACCCAGACTGGCCAGGCACCCCAGGGGGGGACCCCCACCCTGAAGGGTGTGTGACCAGCTGCAAACAGCCATCAGCCCCTCACCCAGGCTGGCCAGGCACGCCAGCGGGACCCCCACGCTGGCAAGTGGACATCCCCCGAGGGCTGCCGGGCTGCCAGAGGATTGTCTGATTGCCAGCTTAGGCTCAATCCCCTGGGGAGCAGGCCTAAGCCAGCAGGTGGTCATCCCCCGAGGGGTCCCATACTGCAAGAGGGCACAGGCCAGGCTGAGGGACCCCCGCTCCCCCCCAGTGCACAAATTTTTGTGCACCGGGCCTCTATCTATAAAATGGAATAATACCAAGCAGAAAGGTTTCAAGAATAAAAGTAATATTCTGTTGATTTAGTCTCTGGTGCTAAGACCTAGGGATCTGCATTTCTAACCAATTTCCCAAATGATGATTGGTGTAGTACAGGTTCTCAAATTCTAACATGCATCAGAATAATCTGGGGGGCTTGTTAAACATACAGCTGGGCCCCAACTCCAGTTTGTGATTCAGTGGGCCTCAGGTGAGGTCTGACAATTTTTATTTCTAACAAGTTCCTAGGTGATACTGATGCTGCTAGTCTGGAGGCCATACTTTGAAGACCATTGGTTTAATATGTATGATGCCACTTTGACCATCTTAATAAAAATGCAAAAAGGGATAATGGTAATTGTTGATCACTCATTATTTACCAGGCACTATTTTATGTGCTTTACATAGATTACTTCATTTAATTCTCTCTGATTCTATGAAATAGGTGTTATCATTGTTATCATTATCCCCATTTTTATAGAGAAGGAAAGGGAGTCACAGAGAAGAGGTTCTGTAACTTGCCCAAAGTCATCTAGCTAGAGACGAACCTGGGGACTCTAATTCCAGAGCACACTCTCTAAAACATTATTCTGATAAAAAATATAACCTGATGGTTGTGCAGCCCTCTCTTAAAAAGAATTTTTCCTAATTTAAAATAAATATATTTAGTGTTTATTCTTTTTTCTTTTTTATATATATATTTTATTGATTTTTTACAGAGAGGAAGGGAGAGGGATAGTTAGAAACATAGATGAGAGTAAAACATCGATCAGCTGCCTCCTGCACACCCCCAATGGGGATGTGCCCACAACCAAGGGACATGCCCTTAACTGGAATTAAACCTGGGTCCCTTCAGTCTGCAGGCCGACGCTCTATCCACTGAGAAAACCGGTTAGGGCTTTAGTGTTTATTCTTATGTGAGCCTCACACCAAAGGCTTGAGAACCAGGCTTACTTGGGTTCCTGGTTGCAAGGGAAGCCCGTTTCAGCATGTTCTAGCCTGGTGTGCCCACAATCCTGTGTTCAGCTAGGCTTTTGCACACTTCTTCAGTTTTCCTTTTGTTGTTGAGTTGTTTAGATGTCTTTTAAAACTATTTAAATGAACTATTACTTATTGCATTTGTCTCCTACCATTAAGTTCTTAAGTAAAATATGACATTATATTTTTTTCCTCCTTCACAGTCTTCTCAGCCATTATGGCTGTCAAGTGGATTGGTGGACATTCTTCTCCTATTCTCTGCCTGAATGCAAGTTCAGAAGGGCTAGTGGCTTCTGGAGCAGAGGGTGGAGATCTCATGGCTTGGGGTGAAGATGGGACTCCATTGGGACATACACGCTTTGAAGGGGCCAATGACGTTACCTGTGTCTTATTCTCTCCCTCCTGCCCCACCAAGCTCTATGCCTCGCATGGAGAAACTATTAGCATACTGGATGTCAGATCCCTCAAAGGTTCCCTGGACCATTTTCATGTGAATGAAGAAGAAATCAATTGCCTTTCATTGAATGAAACTGAAAACCTGCTGGCTTCTGCTGATGACTCTGGAGCAATCAAAATCCTAGACTTGGAAAATAAGAAAGTTAGCAGATCGCTGAGGAGACATTCCAACATCTGTTCTTCTGTGGCTTTTCGGCCTCAAAGGCCTCAGAGCCTGGTGTCATGTGGACTGGATATGCAGGTGATGCTTTGCAAAGAATACTTGGGTAATGTCTAGATGGGATTTGTTAGCAGAATCAAATTGATCAGACTATATATCTTTGAATTTTTTATTTTCTACTAACATGAGCCATAAGCTTTACTTCTAACGCATATTTTATGCTTATTTGGCAAAGCCTATTAGATTTTATTCTTTAGTCCTTTCTCTGTGTTTTAATTCTTTAGTCTTTTCTCTGTGTTTTAATTCCTAATATCTGAGAAGCCAAATATTTGATTCTAAACATTTTTTAAAGGGGGGCAT